GAGTTCCACCACGGAATATGTGAGAGAGCGGAGCTATATTGATTCTAATTCGTAAACTCTTCGTCACCGAGTACTGTTGGTACAGTTGGTATGACGTTTGCCTGATATCGTAACTTTTCGGGTTTCTATTCTCGGTAGTGGATGCGCACGGCTGATGAGTTCCCAATGTTGGACGAAACGTCCGTCTTTCATTCTGTTGAGAATTCTTCTGCACTCGCTGAAATACTTAATTATTATATCTCAAATTCTAGTAATAATTTCTATCATATATAAGTTTTTTATAAAAAATTAGTCATGCAAAGAATAAATCAATAAAGTTAATGTAATTAATGGCGAATTCACTTTGCTAACAGATTAAATAAAGCATTAACTTACTAACCACTCGTTGAATGACGTGATCTTTGTTTTTAAAAATTGTAAAATTGATTAGATGTTCAGTACTTTCGATGAATACTTTCATCATCTTTAGGCATGGATATTATTTTTCAATTCCAGGTAATTTCAGTTATGTTTTGAGACGAAAATAAATGTTATACAGATCGAAAGATGTTTTTTAAGTATATTTATATTAACAGTTCCAAAAGTTTGGAGTTTGCATTGACGCAACGCTAGAGTTTTATTTTGAATATTGTAAATGAGAAAGTTTTTGAAAATAGTAATGTGGCAATTCACGAATTTTATTGTTATAAGTGTTTTTGTTTCAGTTAATGTGAAATGGACTAACTGGTCCAATCATTAGAGTAATGACCTGACAGATTTGCAGAAATCTTTTATTGTAGATCAGTCCTTTTAAATCTATTAAATGGTACAGTATAATTAATATTATAAAGAAGTAGTCATACAAAGAATAAATCAGTAAAGTTAATGAAATTAATGGCGAATTCACTTCGCTAACAGAGTAAATAAAGCATTAACTTAATAACCACTCTTTCAATGACGTGATCTTTGTTTATAAAAATTGTAAAATTGATTAGATATTCATATATATATATATATATGTCTGTATTTGAGTTCAAATACGTAGACATTTATAACTAAATATGCACATATGTAAATCATTTTCAATTGCATAATAATTTCAATAGTTCATTTTTGCTGGCTGACAATATTCCTATTTTATGGCGGCTGGATCTTTCAAAATGCATCTGTAATATCGTGCTGTAATATTTTAGCCTTAACTCAACTAGTATCAGTTCTTTCTTAACAGGAGGTTTCTAGTTGGCTTATATCACAATGTACAAACGACTGAAGAGTTTGTCAGAGTATGGAACATGCACTGATATTCTTGGATTGTTCAAGAGACAGATGACCTGGTGCAGGTGTGTCAAACTGGCGGCCAGTGGGCCGCATGCAGACCTTTACATGTATCTTGGCGGACCTCACAAAATCTTCTATAGCCGTGGTATATCGAGAATTTTGTCCATATTGATAATGCAAATTATTAAAAACAGTGAGATTTTTTTCAATTGGTATGTTTAGATTGTTTATTCTATCTCCATGGTTTTTGTTTTTGAATGTCAGTGACTATTTTTAACTTCCGGTTAATCATGTGATTAAATAAGAACAAATGTAAAGTGAAAACGTTCGTAATTTTGAAATATTTTTCCTTAAAATTGTCAAATTCTATTCTGGTCCTAATGCATAATACTACAAGCCAGGACATTTTTGAGAAACTTGAACATCTTCTCCATGAGTATGACCTTGATTTGAGTAAACTTGTGTGGCTATCTACTGATGGTGCTGGCGATATGATTGGGAGGCATAATGGTGTTGCTTCCAAGTTAAGTACAAAAATAGAAAACATATATACAGATTCAACATTCAAGTATTTTCACTGTATAATTCATCAACAGAACTTATGTTCTAAGATTTTAAAATTACATCTTGTGTTGAGTTTTGTCACAAAAACAGTGAACTCTATCAGAGGTCGTGCTCTGCATCACCATCAGTTTAGCTAGTTATTGGAAGACGTGAAAAATCAGTTCACACATGTCCCATTCTACACAGAAGTTCGGTGGTTTACATGTCATAAGGTACTGAAAAGATCCTTTTTTATTGCGACACGAAATAGTCAAAGCACAAATGAATTGCAAGATGAAAACTGGCTCCAAGATCTAGCTTTTTCAGTGGATATAACAACTCAGTTACGTAAACTTAATTTGAAATTACAAGGTAAAAATAAGCTTATCACTCAGTTATATGATGATATCAAGTGTTTTAATGGAAAATTAGCTTTATTGAAGTCCCAGTTGTCACATGAAAACTTGATTTATTTTCCTATGTGCAAGGAATTAAAAAAAAAATACTGCCACTACTGAGTCTGTATTTATCTTTGCTAGGTACAACAGTCACCTGGAATTGCTGTCAAAGGAATTTTAGCGGAGATTTTGTGATTTTCCATCTTGTGAAGATCAAGATGTTGCTCAGACAGAGGAAAGTCTACAGATGGAACTACTGGAAACGCAGACTGACTCAACACTCAAGGAAATTACCTAGAAGTAGGGGTACCCGGATATTTTTCATACCTTCCTCAGACATTTAAGAACTTCAGAAAATTTTCCACAAAGATTATGGCGATGTTTGGTTCCACATATATTTGGAAGCATTTCTTTTCGTTTATGAAGGCCGCAAAAACGTCTCCAAGAACCAGATTAACTGATGAACATTTGTCATCTTTGATCAAAGTGGGATCTACACAGATATTTCAACCTGATATATCGAGAATAGTTTGTTTTTGTCTTTATTTTGTCCTGAAGATTGACATCAATCATCAGGACAAAATAAAAATGATTAAATTGTAGTACCTTTTATTGTAACTATTTTGTATTTAAAGTTTAGTTACCACTAGCTTATTAGTGTAAAACTAGAAGCAGGTGCGACTCTCGAGGATTAAATCATTGATTAAATTATATTACGTTCCCTGGCAGCTTGAGTTCAGTCCCCAGGTTTGAATGGTGCTAAAAGGTTGTTTTCCAGTTCAGCGCTAAAAGTAAACAGGCGACAGAAAGGCAAATAGACTACAGAGTACTTGTGATATCCCCTAAACACGGGAAATGGAATAAGGACAATCTAAATTCATAGAGTAGATAAAGGGTCCAGGTTCAAATTTAGAACAATTATCAAATAAAACAGACACTTTAAAAAGACCGGTGGGTTTAAACAGCGAAAGTTATCAAGGTTGGTCGTATTAGAAAGACATAAAATAATTCTAATTCCTCATAATAGAAATTTCGAGAGAAACAACTTATCCTCTTTGTGCATTAATACGTGCCTATACATATAGCAAATACTATCACGAAAACCTATTATTTCATGCCTGCTGCATATATTTACACAATACAACAGGAATTGTAGGCGGGTTCTCTGAACATGTCAGGTATCATCCTATACGTGTTCAAAACGTGGGATCACGTGGGCCAGGGAAGTTGTCAGCCATCTTGCAAAGCACTTTAGGTAGCATTGGAACAATGTAGAAGGATATTTTCATCCAAGAGCAATACATCGACATCATGTTCTCTACGTAAATAGTGCTGTTCTATGTTTCCTCCCAAAACACCAAAAAACGAGCGAGAGTTGTAACTTATGGCACACATACGAGTGTTTGGGCTTGTTTAATGTTAACCGGATACACTTTGGAAGGTATCGTTCCGCATATCTCTTTCACAGTCACAAATGATCACCACTTGCATGAAGGTGTCACCTGTTATTATCAATGAACACTACAGAGCATCATTTGATCCCTCAGATGCTCATTTTTCGACGTAACTGGAGACTTGTACAATGGTGTGGGGTCGTAAATATGGTTAGAAGTACGTGTGCTTTTAGTCATGCTGCAAGTAAGCATTCCCAACGGTCCGCTTTGACATTCTTGCAGTCAGAGTTACTTTGTTTTGCTTTCTGTGCTAGTGATACTCTTATAACATGTCGGCTGTCTGTGCTGCACAATTGTCCAGAATCTGATCTATGCGTGTAGGAATGTTCATTCGAGTACTTTTGCCAACATCGAAGCATAACAATCTCATCGGCCCTAACAGATGAATAAATTCTCCTAAATAACTACCCTGTTAACGGATCACTATTTGAATTCTCTTAAACGGCTGTAATTGAATGAAAGTGCGTCACTATGGAATGTCACCTGTTGACATTAAACTCTTTCACCACATTGAATCCTATCGTAGCATGTCGCCACCGCCTAAGTTTCATATATGAACAGTATACTGGTATCAGTGTTAAAACATCACAAATGGCCCCAAAACGCTGAAAGTAAAAAGAACTACTACCTCCGAGCAGGCATAATTGTACTCGTGCTCAATAAAGTTGCAATTTTATTTTTTTGTCATTATGCATACACACACAGACAGACACAGACAGACAGACACACACACACACATATATATATATATATATATATATATATATATATATATATATATATATATGCAAACAGGTGTGTGTACATATTTCTAAATTTATTTGTATGAAAAAGTTCAAATATATTAAATATTCCTGTTTTGTGTAACTAATTCTTAGATATTTCCATCGCATCAGTCATGTTCGCATCGTGTCGATGCGTATCATACTTTCTCCATTGTATCTATATTATACATGAGCACGTGCTCGATTGTGGTCGTATGTCGATGTGCGCATGCCCATGCCAGTGAAATGAACGTACATGGCTTGCTTCCCTGAATCCTGCGCAGGGATGTTGCGTGGCGTAGTGTAAACGAATGTGGAATCCACACCCGTGGGAAATCTCAGTTTAGAGCCAGAAACGTTAAGTTCGAGTTGCATCTTCACAAAGACGGTGTCTTCCAGGCGTTAAGCTATAAAAAAATGGGCTGAGTGCTGCTTGTATCTTGGGTGGTGGGTAGGATGGAGAAAGGTCTGTACAGGCAGCAAAGTGCCAGGGTATTTTTGGCAAGGTTAGTAGTCAGGGACATCAACAGGTTTTCAAGGGTAAATATAGTTTGCTTTTACAAGAACAACCTTTTTTTTTATACAGGTTGGTAATAATGTGAACAAGCGTCTGTCATCGCCCTCAGACAATCGCAACTCTTCCATCTGCGGCGAGATGAAAGGTAATAAAGTGTGTATGCGAGCGATCGGTAGGAGAAGCGTAAACGAGGTTACATTCTTTAAAGATTGGATGAAGAGTCGACTACGTGAATATCATTGTTTTTAAGTTCGATCCTAAGCTTTCAGATGATATATTGTATTTTAACGTATGCTTTTTTATTCTCAGTCAGTAGAAATATGTGTTTGAAATTATACATAGGTTTGAAAGTATAAGATTTGATTAGGCATACATTAGTGTTAGTTTAACCGCTTAGTGAATATGATTGTATGAATTTGTGGATGAGTAACAGTCGCACAGATTTTACGCAAAAGAATTCAATAAATCTTTGCTAAAATTTTTAAAAGATAAAAAACCTACTCACTATTTTCTTTTTTAATATAGGCCTAAATTGAAATCACATCATTTAATGATCATTCAGTATCTATAACAGTTAATATATATATATGTGTGTGTGTGTGTGTGCTCGTATGCGCATGCGTGCATGCGCGCTTTTGTGTGTGCGTGTGTTCATGCGTACACGCGTATCATTGTGTGTGTGAACTCATCATTATATTTTAAACAGACAAAACTGAGCTGATTCAGCATTTTTTATGATAACCTTCATTATCAAGGGAATCTGTACTTACACTGTTTTCGGATTATATATCTGGTAATAGTCACTTAGTTTTCCAGCAAAAATGTATCACATTTTCTAGAAAGATGTGAGTAATTACTATATGTGAGAAAACTAGTTATACTGTATATTTTATATATATATGAAAGAAAATTAGACATAGAATGTATTAATTCTGAACGACTGAGACAGTTTCTATGATTACTGGACTTTGAATTATACAAAAATCATTGCCTTTAGAAGCAATATCGATAGTCATTACTAGAATTCTTTTTTTTTTAAATTGAACAGTTTTAAAGCTTGTGTATATTTAATCCAGCATTTGATGAAGAAAGCATTCCATTTCATAATCAAAAGAAAAGGAAAAAAAAGAAACATTTTAGTTCTGATGATTGTAGAATTTTTCACTATCAGCAATTTCAGTGTTAAGCGTTTTTATTAAAAATATGTGTTTATACTGCGAAGTGTATTAGAAAGACAAAGAAATAATAAAGGAGACTTACAGATATTCTGGATATTTCTAACTAACCTAATCACAGCTGCATCTTTGTTTTGTTGATTTTCGATTTATAAAATTTAAATTCTGCGCATGTTTTCGAATTTCTATACATATTTTTCATATTTTGTGGGGCTGCACCAAATATGGCAGAAGGTTATGTTGTATTCCAAAAGTGTATCTTAGGATAGTTGATAAGTCCTTGTTCTCTACAAAACAACTATTCCTGCCTTTGAACAAATTCTAAATAGTTACGATTGAATTCTGTGCACTGTTGGCAACACAATTCTTTTAAAGTCCAACAGGATGATTCCAAGATACATATATCATTCAAGTAATATGTAGGATTTCAAGTGATATTCACTAACTTTATCCTGTTTCCAAAAAGCCGAACCACTAAGAATTCACCTTAACATCTGGAATATTCAGAAGAGACGCAAAGGGTCCTAGTCCAATAAATTCCCTTATAAAAATGTTTTCAAATCTGGCCAAAAAATGAACTGATTTCATTTGTTTTCAATTTTGTAGATATTTAGACTAAAATACATTTAAAATGTAACATAATAAAAAGGAAAGTAATTTTATGGTTAGGTTATTGTTCGTTTTTCTTTTCTCTTTTTGTCTTTTCATTTCTTTTTCACCTTTCTTATTTGGTGGAAATAAAAGTTTATTCTTTTCTCTGTCATCTTTTCGCTTTCTTTTTACATTTCTTTCCTTTTTATTTTTGCTTTCTTTTCATTTTTCATGTTTTTTCTCATCTTTTTCGTTAAATCACATTTTACTCATTTTCTTTTTTCTTTCCTTCATTTTTTTCCTTCGTTTACCTTCGTTTTTTCCTGTCCTTCCCACTGATAATTAAATCCTTACGACGTTTGCTGATTATCATCAACATTATAATCAGATTGATTAACTTAACACAAAAAAACATGCGAGAGGCTTACGATAATGTGACTTCATTTTCTTCATTTGATCTTTGATGATCTGAAAAATATAGATACTTTCGTTCTCTGTAAAATCGTTATTAGAGTTATTTTAAGGTATAGAAAAAACGTCAAATAATGATTTCTCAGAACCACACGTTGAAAAAGTTCTTTCTTCCAATTTCCTTTCCAATTTTCTTCCTTTTTTCATATTTCCTTTTTATCTTCCATTTGTTCCCTTTTCTTGTCATCATTTCATTCTTTTCTTTCGTTTTTCTTTCTTTCGTTTAGTTTTCATCGCCGTTAATTTTACTTTTTCCATATTTGATTCCTTTCCTTCTTTTCTTGCGATCTTCAGTGATTCTATTTTCTATATTTTCGTTTCTGTGTCTGATTTTTCCCTTCAAACCAAATTTACTCTATCAAAGACGTCGAAAAGATGTGTCAACCTTGACAGAATTTGCAAGACACTTAATAATAATGTGCTGATCGCTATCAGTGAGATCATTTTTGACTATTCCTAACGATGTCAAAATAAAATGCCGTTGTTCAGATGAAGATTATCGCGGATAGTACAATGCTGTATTTTTCGATAGAAAAAAATATTACTCACATTAAAAAATATCTTACCTGTTGTTGAGTGCAGTGAAATAAAATGTTTAGTGCACTGAGATAACCTTAATATATAATGCATGAAACATCATTATGTTATTTGCATTTACTATTTGAAGCTGTCACTAATATTTAAACACTACGGCTGTATAAGTTCACAAAGAAGTAAAACCTACTATCCCACGATTCATTGTAAATGTAATGTTTCCGTATAAAAGCTATTATTTCACATGCACGCACGAGCGCGTGTGCGCGCACACACCCACACACACATATATACATGAGTTAAAGATCAACTGCAGATCAAATATGGATCGGAATCCGACATGATGATAAAATAAAGAACAAACCAGAGTTTCTCTCCTTTTCTCTGTTTTGTCTCAATCCCTGACGAAGCTTTAATAATAGCGCAATATGTTAGAATAGATTGATATCCGTTTCCTATTTGTTCTTTATTTTATCATATATACATTATATACATACACACACATCCCATATACACACATCCCATATACACACATCCCATACGCACGCACACACACACACACACACACACACATATATATATATATATATATATATATATATACTTAGAGGGCTAGAATTTGGGTAAATTATATTTTGAAGCAATCCATCCCGCTTAATGCCACCCCATTTATTACGCTCTCACTTTTTGATGCGTTGAATTATTTTCCGATCGCCTAATTACGAGCAAGTAGAGAAAAAGCAGAGATCTGCTGAGAAAAGTAGTGTTTTAAACTCTATCAGGCACCAACGGTTCTGATATATATAGGAATGAAGATTATGAGGCAAAGTGAAAAAAAGCTATAAACGACGCGTTTCGCAGATAGAACGCCGGCCGCATTCGGTTGTGTAAGGTTAGAAAGAAAGACAATACTGCATGTTAGGTAAATGTGTTGCTATCTGTAAGTGTAAGATGTAGCCACAAATCAAATGACTATATAACATCCGATGACCAGAAACCAGAAAGTGCATATTTGTCTGTAACAAAAAATAAAGGAGAATTCTTGAATTTTACTCGCTTACTTTTTGCCAGACATTGAATCATGGCACTTTGTGTCCTCCACTTGTTTTGAATTGTTTTCAATCACTTGATGAACAATCATTAACGTTCTCAAATTTAAAAAAAAACTTTGATAAAACAATTACATACTTGCTTTTGGATACAAACACGAGAAACACATAAATCCTACATTGTCTTGGTAAAGTCTCTCAGATGACGAAAGTCACTTTTTTATATATATATATATATATATATATATATATATGCATATTCGAGCCGTTTCTGTTTTCTGGATCTTAAATCAGCCCACCGAAACCAGAGAGTACTTTATTTTCATGTATGTACACATACGCACACACACACAGACACACAAACATTATATGCATAAATACATAGAGAGAGGGCGAGATTTTTTAATATATTTGTAGTCTTGCATATACATATACGTATATATACATGTATAAAGACACATATACATATATTAGACACTTTTTGTGGCTTTTATCAATTTGTCGGGCGCGCCTTTTATCCCTATTTTTATGGGGCACAACGGAATGCCTGGTTTGTTTGCTGGTTTGTTCACACACACACACACACACACACACACACACACACACACATATATATATATATATATATACATATATGAGTTGGAATCAAATATAGATAAAATAGGATCATAATCCGACATAATGATAAGATAAAAAATTTCACTTTTATTAAAGCTGCATCAGAGAATGAGATATGGACAAAAGAAGAAAGAAATTCTGATATTTTTACTTTTTTCTTGATTGATTTTCATTGTTTAATCATGTTTCACATGCATTCGACTTTTTAAACCAACCTTAGTATAATTTGTGACATTCTGAATTCAAGGAGAGATGATGAGTCATCCAAAGTTTCAAGATTCTAAACCCACCTAACAAAACGTAAATATTTCTTTATGTAGGTATATATATAATAATTCTTGTTTGTCTCTGTGAGATTTAGATGTTAATGTATATTCGTAAGTGTGGCTGAGAATGTGTCTAGTCGACATTATGCTTGTTTGTTTTTCGCATGTTGATTTGGGAACATTTTTACGTACATACAATTTAAGAATGGATTCAGTAAAGGTTGATGAAGTAATATAATGTTTTTGAAGTATGTTTATAGTTTGAAATATTGTTATTAGAAAGTTCTCAAAGTACTTTCTTTGTAAAGAATTATATTTTTTTAATTAAGGGGGCATTAGTAAAATCAAAGTTATGGCCTGTTTTGTTCCTGTGTATTATGAAAGAGATTAAATTGTTGTTTACATGTAAATCTCTTTTAGGTAC